TCTGCTGACAGAGTTTACATTTAGTCAAATCTACATCAGCAGATGTTACAACTGCCAGAGGTACTTGTAGCCGAGCCTAAGCCTAGCAGTGGTAACATCTAGAAGTCTGCTAACCTTATTGGATGACCCATAGACGTGCGGCACTTCCTGCATAATAGAATAATGATAGATGGAGGAACTGGTGTGAATTTCACTTTGCCTCAAATCTCCGAAATTTAGTTGATGTTCCCGGAATATTACTGCCCTCAGGCTGCTCAAAGGCAGTCCAAGTTGGTAATCAATTCCCTCTTTACGAGCAAAAGTCTTGACCAACTCATCAGGTCTATCATGCATTCGGAGACCAATATGGGAAGGAATCCACAGGAGACAGACTCTGATTCCATCACATTTCCTAAAAGGTTGTAACAGAACTCATGGGCACCACACCAGAAACAAGTACCTATTTGATATTCCAAGAGTACGACTTAATTAAACTAGGAATGCTCTACAGATCAAGAGACCCAGAATGTGGAATGACCTTCCCAATCATGTCAAAGATTGTACCTCTCTCAACCAGTTTAAGATGAAAACTAAGTACTACCTAATTAACTCCATGTAACCTACCTTACTTCTAAATGTCAACCCATGTCTTACTATTTAAAAAAAATGCTGTTTGTTGACCAACCTGTATATTGGCTATATTCTACCATGTTCCCCCGTTTTTTTATCTTTTATTATTATTTTTCTTTCAACACAATTTATACTTTAAGCTCAATTACTATTAAGTTTTAGTCTCAGTGTTTTTCCCCCGCCTCACCTTGCCCGAAACGCTATGCGTACTAGTGGCTTTAGGTATTGTATGTACTGTACTCCCTGTATCTTTAAATCTAACAGAATGTTTGTACTGTAACTCTGCAACTATGTATGTACTGTTCCTAAATAAATTATTATTATTATTATTATTATTATTATTATTATTATTATTATTAATTATTTCATTATATCTGTGTCTAGCTTCAGAGATAAGCACGTCACAGTTATGCCTTAGGGAGCTGAGGGCAGTCAAGGATGACAGGGAGTCACTTACAATTAGAGTGTCAACTTTGGATTCATATACGCGCTTGAGTGCAAGGATTATGACAACCAATTCTGTTTGAAGAGTGGAGGCCCAGTTACTGAGACGCGCTCCACACTCATGGGAGAAGGAACCATCTCTCCCTGTCACAACAACTGCACTACCAGCTGCACCATGGGACTGATGCAAGGATCCATCAGTGTAAATAATCTGGGAAAGGGAGCGCTCTCTGACTAAAGCATCAATTTGGCTTAAGGCATTGTACTTTGCTTCTTGTCGAAGCAAGGCTTGTTCTTTAATCAGCTTCTTGGGTGGGATAGGGGGGGGGGGCAGTAATTTGGAAAGGGGTGATCTCCCATGGGGCAGGAAAGTGTCGTTGTTGTCTCTCTTGGTAGAGGTGATGAATATTATACATTCTGAGCACAGTGGCAATTACGGTAATCCATTTGGAGGGATGCTGACCTTCAAGGAAGAAGGCTTGGAGGGCTTCAGTGCAAGGGTTAGGGTGGGTTAGCCTAAGCATCTTGATACCAATTAATGCATTAATTTCATGGCTTCGTTTTGCATCTTTCCCTGCCCTCCAAGCATTCTCTCAGGCACTAGAGCAAGCATGGGTGCAGCATAATCAGAGACCTAATATATGAGAGATACATAAATTGTGACACTAGCTCTCCACATATATCAGTTGCTTAATTTAGAAACTGTACTTGTGGCCGATCTCGAGCCCATTGTTGATGTGACAATGTGCATTGACATTTGTAACTAGCTCACCAAGATTGTAACTTGCTTAGCTAAATGAATTGTGGGGTTCAGTCCCTGAGCCCATTATGTGCCTCTGTAACCCTTTCCACTACCGCCCACAAGCTGGGTATGGGGTGCATAGTAAATGAACTAAACCAAACTATCAGTAATTTCAGACCAAATGGTATTAGGTACTTGAGCTCTATAATTACTTCATACACTCACGAATATTGAAAAGTATTATTGCGCTGTACCCGAATTTTACTAGTGGAGGCTAACAGCCTCACATTTCATGTTCTCTCCTGATTCCATGTATGACTAACCATCCTGTGAGATGGGGATAGTAGATGAACATATAGCTAGTTTTTTATCTACACTTTGTAAACTTTCATATAGAATAGGGTAGCAGCACATTGCTGTGTATTCCAAACCTTGTTAATAAAAATGTACCTAATTAAACTATTGTTAATAGTTTAATTAGGTACATTAATTATCTTCAAATTATGCTTCAATGTACCTCTTAATACTTTTCACATTTTGCTATGCTATGGGTGTTAGTGGCTTTACAAGAATGTAAGAACACCAATTATGTACTCTCCCAACCCAATGTACCTTCTTGCTTATATAAAAAAATAAATTTAAATAAATAAATACTGAGGCCCTACTAAGAGATCTACATGAACTTCATAAATGGTCAGAAGACTGGCAAATGTTTTTTAATATCGATAAATGTAAAACCTTGCATGTGGGGCATAATAATTCACGTCACAACTACCAAATTAACAGCACTACCTTGCAGGAGACTGACGAAGCAAGTCTGGAGTTTAAATCCATCATTTACTGAAAGTTGCACACCAGATACGATCAGCAGTAAAAAAAGAGGCTACCTTGAGGTTATCTTGAGATGATTTCGGGGCTTTAGTGTCCCCGCTGCCCGGTCCTCGACCAGGCCTCCACCCCCAGGAAGCAGCCCGTGACAGCTGACTAACATCCAGGTACCTATTTTACTGCTAGGTAACAGGGGCATAGGGTGAAAGAAACTTTGCCCATTGTTTCTCGCCGGCGCCTGGGATCGAATCCAGGACCACAGGATCACAAGTCCAGTGTGCTGTCCGGCTAACCAAACTCTTGGAATAATCAAGCGTACCTTTGACTTTAAGGAAAAGAAGAGTGATTAAATTTTATAAATATTTGGTGATTTGGATAATCTCATTTAGATTATTGTATCCAAGCATGGAGACCTCATCTTCAGAAGGACATATAGCTGCTCTGGAGAAAGTGCAACACCGGGCAATAAAAATAATTCCAAAACTAAGTCATCTCTCATATCAGGCATGATTGAGGGCCACAGGACTAACACTAAACGAGGTATGGCACGGAGGATCTCATCTAATCTTTTAAAAAACTGAACCATTTAGACAGATCCAAAATACTGAACCATTTAGACATCCAAAATACTGAACCATTTAGACAGATCCAAAATACTGAACCATTTAGACAGATCCAAAATACTGAACCATTTAGACAGATCCAAAATACTGAGCAATTGATGTTTATCCATACAATTTCTTCAAAGGGTCAGATGTAACACAAACAAGGAACAACGGGTTCAAGCTCAACAAGCCACAATGTGGTACTGAGAACAGGAGATGCTTTTTCACCCACAGGGTTATAAACCCATGAAACCGCCTACCCGCCGAAGCCGTAAATGTTTTCTCTGTTGAATTTTAAAGTCTAGCTGGAAAAAAAATTAGGGCACATGGGGAACCTTTGACAAGCCGTCGTCTTCCTGTCCTCGTCGATACCACTAGAGTTTTAGTGGCCCTCAGGTAAATTTTTAATTAAATATGTTCACATTTCTTGTACATTTGTTAGAGTTGTCTCTTAATTCATGTATATTTTCTCACTCTATCACATAGTGACGGATGGTGTGCGAATATTTTAGTTGACACTAACTTTAGTTGACAATAGTTCTCAGTGGGTGGTGGCTGAGTGGACAGCGCTCTAGACTCGTGGACCTAGGGACCGGGGTTCGATTCCCTGGCACCGCCGGAAAAACACATGGGGCAGAGTTTCCTTCATCCTGATGCCCCTGTTACCTAGCAATAAATAGGTACCAGGGAGTTAGACAGCTGCTACAGTCTGCTTCCTGTGTGTGTGTGTGTGAAAAAAAATAGTAGTTAGTAACAGTTGATTGATTGACAGTTGAGAGGCGGGGGGAAAGAGCAGAGCTCAACCCCCGCTAGCACAACTAGGTGAACACACAATTTACATATGGTAAGGTCTACAACAAGTCCCAGCTGTGTCTGGGTACATATGTCAGGAAGAACAATTTTCAATTTTCCGCAATTTTCCTACTGAAATTTTTCTCATCTTTTTTTTTGCCCTGTAACTGTTATCATTTTTTTATACAAATTTCGCAAGTATTTACCTACTTAAAATTTTTTTAGATTAAGGACCTGCCCGAAACGGTGCGCGTACTAGTGGCTTTACAAGATTGTAATGACCATATTATGTATCCCCACAATCCCAATGTACCTTCTTGTATATGCATAAATAAATAAATAAATAAATAAATAAATAAATAAATAAATAAATAAATAAATAAATAAATAAATGAACATATGATGGGTTTTCTTCTTTTTGGGGAGTGTTGTACATACTGCTATGGCGGTGTGTCCACTCACAGGATGAGTGGTGCTGCTCAATAATCTCGTCCCTTGGGGCAAAATTAAATCGACAGGTAATGAAAATTCCCAGTGATACTTAAAGATGAGTCTAAAAGAGCAGCGTAACATCTACAATTTTATTGGATGATCCATACACGTGTTGCTACATGATAGTATGATGATAGATGGAATTACTAATGTCGATTTCACTCTGCTTCAGATGTACAAGGTTATTTAATACATCAAATGTATATTTTGATTGTTGCCGCCGGAGGCGCATCTAATATGATATTATAGTTGGTATCCCTGCTCTTAGTGTTGCCATGATGTTGAGCATTGTTTATTCATGTTTTACTAGATATAGCGTGTCGTCGTAACTAAAATATCTGCAAATGTATTTAAATATATGTTATATTATATAAACAGAGTGCCTATGATAGTTATTTTGTAAATTTGAAGCTATGGTGACGTGTAATAATGTAGGAGTATTGGAGAAAGTAGCGGTGTGAGGGAGGTGTAAGTGAGAGAGGTAGCACCTGCGCCCAGCTGGTGTGAGATACACTGGAGACGCGGCCGTAGCAGTGTGTCGTGTGTGACTCTCTCAAGTACCTGTGTTGTGTTGCCCGCGGACCTCGCCCCGCGCTCACTCTGGTCACCCACCAGTTATTTTACGTGAGGTGTGGACTAAGCTAGTCGAGCTGGATTCCCCAAAGGAAAATTTCTTCTCAGTCTTCAAGCGTAGGATGTGGATTACGGGGAAGGTTGATCAGTCCTCGCATAAAGAACAGACATTCACGGATTTATATAATGAGTGTCGAAACATTGCACCTGGGGCTAGACTCTCCTACATGCTGCGGACCAGGCTCGAGAGGTTCCAGAGAGAAGACAGAAAAGAGATAGTGACCAGAACGCGAGATGGGTGCGCGCCGCTCTTTGTTGCATGCAAGCGAGGCAATGTGGAGGTGGTGGACTACCTTATCACAACGTGTAGTGCCGACGCCGAGCAGCGTGGACTGTACGAGGTGCCAGATGACAGGTCAATCCACAATGTGACACCACTGTGGTGCGCCTCTGTTGCTGGCCGTTTACCTGTGGTGAAGTGTCTAGTGCAGCACGGCGCGGATGTCAACAGCGTGTCAGACACTGGGTCAACCCCTGTACGTAGTGCTTGCTTCATGACCCATCTCGATATAGTGACTTACTTGGTGGAGAATGGAGCAAATATTTCAAAACCCAATTATAATGGTGGTACCTGTTTGATAAATTCTGTTCAGAGTGTGAAGTTGTGTGAATATCTACTCAAGCACGGTGCCGATGTCAACGCACAAGATATTCAGAACAAAACTGCCTTACACTATGCTATTCAAGAACACCGTTTTGAGACGACAAAATTATTGCTTGACCATGGAGCAAACCCACACCTGACCAGTAGATACCACGATGATGCACTTCAGACTGCCTGCATCAAGGGTGCCTGTCAGATCTTTGAATATTTAATAAATGTTGTCTCGTATGCCCCTGGCCGAATAGCAGATGGATACGAGTTACTTGGTACAACATTCTTGGACGAGCATCATGACATCCAAGCTGCTCTCCAGTACTGGCGAAAAGCTACATGCATTCGTCAGGCATCTGGAGTTTCAAAAGTTATATTGCCTGCAAGACACAATTATCAGTTTGCTCTGGAATTTAAGACGTCAGAAGAGTTGGAAGTCGTTGCCATTGATTTAAATGGTATGCGAACTCAGAGTTTATTAATCTGTGAACGTATTTTGGGAACTGCTCACAAGGATATGATCTTTAGGTTGATGTACAGAGGAGCAGCATATGCAGATTCTCTCCAATATCAAAATTGTATTGACCTGTGGCTATATGCCCTGGAACTTAGAATTCAAAGAGATACAATTCTTTTCAATGAAACATGTTTTACAGCTCAGGCATTAGTTCGACTCTATTTAGATATGATAGACAAGCATGGAGCAGGTGTGATGCAAAACACCGTCAGTTTTGATGATGCCTATCGTACCCTCGAGTTGCTTGCTGACCAACTTCCAAAATGCATGGCTCTTCTCCGAATACAACCAGTCCATAAAAAGCACCAAAGTAACTTTGATCACATGTTAAAAGTTTTAATACACATGCTTTTTGTTGTATTGCATATTCCAAGCACAGAAGAGCAACACGAAAAGGTGGCAACCCTTGTAAATAATATTTTGCGCTTAGATCCCAGAACGTGCCAAGGTGGTCACTCTCTTCTTCATCTTGCAGCTATGAAGACTAATGTGCTTAATAATCATTCATTGTTAGAAGATGAACATATGACCCCATTTCCCTCAGCAGGGGTTGTATCCTTCCTATTGGCATGTGGTGCTCCAGTAAATGCAACAAACGACAAAGGATCATCTCCACTGTTCATGGCATCGCAGGATATTCTCTTCAAGGAGGAGGTAAGTACTATATGTATTTCATATACAGTACTGTACTATAGTTTATTAAATATATTGTTGATAGCATTTGCTATTGTTTTGCCAGTGATTTATTCCAAACCAGCATGTATGATTGCCAGAGGCTTAACCTTTGATCTAATTAGGCTGTGCAGTCCATGTATTAAGGCAGTAATCCCATTCCACCAGAATATTATGTAGGTAAGGGAAATTGTTTGATGTTGAGGGTGAGAAAAATAGCAGCAGTCATTCATTCAATTTTGCCAATCTTAATACTGAACCTAATCTTACCAATTCGAACATTACCCAAGAGTGCATGAGCTCCCAAAATAATAAGAAGAAACATGTGCGTTGTATGCACTGCAGTGGACTGATGTGAGTTTTTGTGGTTACCACAATATTAATATACAGTACATTCTGTTGACACTGGTTATAAATAACATTTGGCACAAGTCTCGTGTTACTATGTTTAAAATTTTCTGTTGTAGGAAAAAAATAATTTTACAGATTTTGCTTGATAATTACTGTATAGTAATTACTGTAATTACTGCATCACAACTTTATTGCAATTTGAACACAAATTGACTGTGTCAGGGTTAATACATAATTACAAGTTCGTTTCAAACTATATGATGTGGCAGATAGAAATTGCTTTTTTTTTTTGTGATATATACAAGAGTTGTTACATTCTTGTACAGCCACTAGTACGCGTAGCGTTTCGGGCTTTTCCACTGCTCTCGGTATTATATTTGTGCCATGTTATCATTACAAAGTACTGTATTTGCATTGCCATGTAACCCATTCCAGTGGGGAGCCATGATCATCACAAATAAGATTCTCAGAGAAATTGATAGGGTAGATAAAAACAGTTTATTTAACATGGGTGGGCACACGCACTAGGGAACACAGGTGGAAACTGAGTACCCAAATGAGCCATAGTTACATTACAAAGAAAATTTTTAGTGTCAGGGTAGTTAACAGATGGAATGAATTGGGAAAGGATGTGGTGGAAGCAGACTACATACACAGTTTAAAATTTAGATATGATGTAGAGCCCAGTAGGCTCAGAGATCTCTGTATACTGGTTGATTGTTAGTCGAGAGGAGGAATCAAAGAGCCAAAGCACAACTAGGGGGAAAACACATCACATCAAACACAAACAACACATCATATCAGAAAAACTAACATCCTTCACTGTATTACTGTACTAATTGGAATGTGAGTGGTTGTCCTGTAATCTACTAAGTGTAGAAAGGTTACTATTTAGCATAACTACATTGAAGATTTACTGAAAGGCTGTTTCTTCTTGCAGATACAGTACTGCAATATAAAATATTTATTTATTTTTGATATAGGGAAATATTTTTTGAACATGTATATACTGTACTGAATCCTTTGTAGAAGACTTAAATTCAGGTTGGGGTGTTGTAGGTAGAAGAGAATCTTGACAACAATCCACCAAGACTTCTATAAAGGCTATAAATATAAAGGCTGGAGGTTTTGTTACATGTCTGTTTGACATATGACACAACTCTCACATAGGCTAGTAAATATTGCCCCTGTAAGCTTGTGCGTCCTAAAAATTGTCTTGCTTGTTTATCTCAGATCTGTTGAGATAAGTCTTAGTCTTTCTCATGACCTCTGTATCTACAGTACTGCAATTTGACTACATATTTTTACTAGTAAAAATGTTGGAGACTAAGTAGTTAAAAGAAACTAGCTAACTGGACAGACAAGAAGTAGATTACAGTATTGTAATGTGACTAGAAATTAAGGAACATTCATCTCCCAACTGTGTAAACAAAAACACAAGATTAGTGTGTTAACAAAAACACAAGCTTAGTTTGTAAACAAAAACACAAGCTTAGTTTGTAAACAAAAACACAAGCTTAGTTTGTAAACAAAAACACAAGATTAGTGTTTCTTAGTTAAATTTACCAGAAGATCTCTTTTACCAGGCTTTGGTTGTTGCAATCTCTATATTATCTGTCCAGGAAAAGAAAAACTAGTGTTGTTTTATGAATACATTCTCATGATATTAGCATGACTTAGTGCAGGTGACTACCTTGACAGCAAAGGCTGGGCACTACATGAGAGATACGAATAATTAGATCATAAATAAAGTACGTGTTCATGTATGTCACACGCAGTTAATTTGTAACCATTTGAGCTTTAGAACCCCAACATGGGGTGTAGAGTATAACAACAATAATTGGGTTGCATGGGTTTAATACCCTCAGGAAGTTTTGGTCTTGCTGTTCCCCGGCAATAAATAACAAATGTAAAGAGAAGTTGATAAGGAAAAAAAGTGGATTTTGTGGATACAAAGTGAAAGTCATGAAAGTGAGTGGAATAAAAACAAAAGTCATGCAAAAAGATTAATTATGCAGAAAAACAAAGTGAGAAGATAAGATATAAAATTTAAGAAAAACAATTAAAAAACAAGGAGCACTTTTGGAAAGAACTAAGAAGGGGTGAACAGGAATGTTAAAGATAGACATGGGAGAATGTTAAACAATGAAGAGATAAAAGTACAGTACTGTAGCTGGAGAGAATATTTTGAAAGTCTAATGAGGGAAATAATGAAAGCGGTGCTAATTTGAGCACAATTGAATTTGATGGTGTGAGAAGAGTTCAAGATTAAATGCCAATTGATCCATCTGAGAGCCACTAACATTAATGGCATCGATGATGACAGGAAGCCAGCAGCTTGTCGAAGGTCCCCTTCCATTTGTCTTGAAATCTGTGAAAGAGGTGTATTGAAGAAGCATAATTCTGAAAATGCAGGATTTTGCTCCATTCACAATCTCTGGGGTGTGACTTGCCTAATTTTTGCACAGTACTGCATACAATTTTTTGGCCTAAAATAGTATCTTAAGGAGCTACTAATTGATATATCAGTAATAAAATTAAGAATAAATAGAAAAAACCACATTTCTTGAATAATGCAAATGTACTTAAAAGCGTGAATTGTGATAAGCGTCTACTGTATATGTGATGCAGACAGAGGCCAAGGTCGTTTATTAGCTCTCTAAACATCTCTAATCACCATCTGTGATTACCTCCTTTGCTCAAATCATCAAATACAATTTTTTTACATTTATTTTATTACTATTTGTTGATACACTATGGTGTAGAGCTTCTACTTAATAAAGAAAAAAGCTGATGAAGCATAACCTAAGAAATAAGACAGCCTTGTGGAACATCAATTATTTATATAAATTAGAAAGATAGAAGTAGAGCCATCAGGAATTTAGAGGTGGATTTTATGGAAAACTAAACTAAAATTAACTTTGAGAGAGAAAAAGGGGAGGAAAACCAAAATACTGTAGGTTGAAACAGCAAAGTTTTCCCAAGGCTCTGTAAAATCTTATCATATGCCAATTAATTGCCAATTGTGTAAATTGGCAATTAATTTCAACTGGGGTATCAAATGAGCTGCTTATTGAGGTCATTCAAATCATTTTATAAGAAATATGATAACATTTTATCTTTCAAATTGTGTATTGGGTGGTTATTTCCATTGTTGTTCTTTAGAAAGTTTAAATAATCAATTCTAGTACAGTATTGACAATGGAGAGTACCTGGAGGGGGGGGGTGTTCTGCCCCCTCCCCCCACCCCCCTGTCCAAGCCCAGCCTGAGCCTTAGCTTGAGTAGTTTGTCTAATTCTCAAATCTTAAGTTAATTTGACAAATATGATAAGTGCTTTACTGGTAGATTTTTCATGATAAAAAGGTTTTACCAGTGCATCAACCTTACAACCAGAATTTTTTTTTTTTTTTATTTGAGGCTTTTACTCCAGACCATGCAACTCATTCCTTCATATAATTTTGTGATGGGAAAGTTCCACAGTTCTCCTTATGGCATCATGACACAACTGTTGACAAACATATTATTTACTGTCTTTCACTCATGGTTTCGGTTTATTTTGTGGATGGGTTGAGGGGAGACCTTTGTTAATGTTGTGATGAGTATTTAACTCTGTGAAGTTATAATAAATCTTGCTTAGTGTAGCGCCTATATTGTAAATAATTCATCCCCAGTAAATTTGATTTTACTTAAAATGACTTCTATAAGACATACATTGTAAAATTAAAACTTGGAAAGTGTTTGCAACTTAACATTAATTATCTAAACATTAATTATCTAAAAGCAAAGGAAAACATATTCAGTCGATTTACAACAAAACTCAAACTCTTGAGCAAGTAGCTTGATGTAATAATTGTCAAACATTGATGAATACAGTGCTGTACACTTTGTACTTGTTCATACATGTTTAGGCAATAATTCATAGGTACAGTACTGTAATATAACATTGAGCATGTAGGTTTCATTACAATGCTTTTGGACAGCTGTTAAAACGATTTACAGGTATATAAATATGAAAAGGTTTCTAATTCTAAGTAATTTATTTATATACAAGAAAGTATATTGGTTTTATGGGAGCACATAACGTTGTTCTTACATTCTTGCATAGCCTCTAACATTCATAGTGTTTTGGGCAGGTCCTTAATCTAACAGATAAGGTAAGATTATTAGTTGGTACAGTGTAGCAAAATTTGAGTTCAACCTAATAACTACAATATAAATTGATAGTAATGGGCAAGTTGCATGTCTTAAGTACTAATATTGGGGGAGTAGGTAGAACAAAATACAGTGAGAGCTCGAAGCACAAGGTAGGAAAATATGAGGATGGAATTAGGTACACACAGAGATCACACTAACGTGATGCATCAAATGAACAAATCCACAAGGGCCGTGACGAGGATTCGAATCTGCGTCCGGGAGCATCCCAGACACTGCCTTAATCGACTGAGCTATTAAGGACACTGCCTTAATAGCTCAGTCGATTAAGGCAGTGTCTGGGATGCTCCCGGACGCAGGTTCGAATCCTCATCACGGCCCTTGTGGATTTGTTTGTGAAATTAGGTACTTTTTGGTTTTACTTTTGAAGCGGTCAGAGATTGAACAATTTTTTAATTCTTTAATAAATTGAATTTTA